GGGGCTGCCCCCGGGGGGTGGGGACCAGGGGGACATGACATGGCCGCTGTCACCAGCTCACGTCTCACCCCGTTTCGTCCCCAGGAGACGCTTCCCCTGGAACATCATCCTGCTGACCATCTTCGTGAGTGGGCTGGGGCTGGCGGGGGGGGCCTAGTGGTGCCCCCATGGCACCCCAGCTCCCCAGGCGGGCTGGGAGGGATAGGGGGAGGTGTGGGCAGGCGGGGGGCAGCCAGGAACTGCTGCCCCCCATGGTGCTGCTTGCCCTGCTGAGCCCACCTTTCTCCTCTCCCACAGACACTGGCCATGGGGCTGATGACAGGGACAATCGCCAGGTACGCCCCAGGGACCCCATGGTGACAGGAGCTGGGGTCCCCCCTGTCCCCCACCGTGCGGCCGGCTCAAGTGAGAGGCTGCTGGGAGCCAGGGGACACCCCGGTCCCCTGGGCTCAGGGACAGTGGGGTCCCTGCCTGGGATCAGGGCTGTGGGGGGTCACCAACACCCCCTAGCCAGGGGGATGCCGAAGCATGGGGTGACTCTGGTGTCCCCTCCATCTGCAGCATGTATCGGACCAATGCCGTCCTGATCGCCATGCTCATCACCGCCATCGTGGCCATCATTGTCACCATCTTCTGCTTCCAGACCAAGGCAAGGAGGGGGATGTGACCTGCCCTGCCCTGGGGGGGGAGTCAGGCTCAGGGAGCTGGGTGGTGGGGACACCCCAAGCTCTCCGGTGACATATGAGTTTCCCCCCTGGCAGGTTGATTTTACGTCGTGTCCGGGGCTCTTCTGCGTGCTAGGCATTGTGGTCATGGTGACCGGGATTGTCACTGCCATCGTCCTTTCCTTCAAATATGTGAGTGGGGGGGGGACAGAGGGGCTGTGGGTGTCCCCGGGGCTGGTACGGGTAGGGGGGGGTTTGGGTGGTCCCCCTTTGCCAGGAAGCAGGGTGTGGTGCGGGCCACGGCAGAGGCAGCTTGCCCCCAGGGAGAGGGTGCGTCAGCATCAGCAGCATCAGCGGCATCATCTCCTCAGGAGCCAGGTGCGGGCAGGACCTGCCCTGCCTTGCCCACTGCCTGCCAGCATCCTGGCTCACCCTGCCCTTGTCCCCTTCCCTGCGCAGGTCCCCTGGCTCCATATGCTGTACGCGGCCATCGGCGCCATCGCCTTCACCCTGGTGAGTTGACGGCTGGGGTGGGCAGAGGGTGTCATGCAGGGACCGAGGAGGGGGGAACCCTGCATCAGTCCCTGCCTGACACCCTCTGCCCCACCAGTTCCTTGCCTATGACACCCAACTTGTGCTGGGGAACAGGAAGAACACACTGAGCCCCGAGGAGTATGTCTACGGTGCCCTCACCATCTACACCGACATTGTCTACATCTTCACCTTCATCCTGCAGATCGTGGGCCGGGATTAGCCCCGGGACCCCTCCTGTCCCCCCGCCGCTGCCCCTCACCTCCTCCTCTGTCCTCTGTACAGGATACAGCCGCTTACCGTGACTCCTAACGCTTCAGCATCCCTACCCATAGGCTCCTAAGGAAAGGGCTTCCCTTGATCACTGCCCCCCCAAGCCTCCAAGGGTGGTGGGGAGGACCGGCTGCCAGTGTTTAGGCAGTGCCCAGCATTGGCACCGCTTGCTGAGGCCGTGCCTGTGGTGCTGGGTGGGCAGTGGAGCGCCACAGTCCTGCCTGGGCCCAGGGAGCTGGCAGCAGCTGCTGGGATCGCGTTGGGATTTTTTTGGCAGAGCCTGGTTGGTGTTACTCACGTGGTGCCTTAAACGCGGCTCCGGCCGTGCCCCCCTCCCCAAGCTGCAGTGGTGCCCGGTGCGGGCAGGGGGCAGCTGGGACTGGTGGCAGAGCTCACGTTGCAGAGGCCCGGCAGCCACGGATGTGGGCAAAGTTGCACTTGCTAAATAAAACACTTCAATTTTCCAGACGGTTCCCAGACTTACTGGTGTGGCTACTCCCCTGAAAAACCTGTGGGCGGCCTCAGCGGGGGCTGTGGCCTGGGGCAGCACAAACACTGCTTTGGGGCGGAAAAACCAAGGTTGAGCGGCTCCAGGCTGGGCCTCCCTCACCTGCCTGTACCTCTCCACCCTTGTGGGCAGAAGCTCGGCTGCAAAGCAGCTGCCCCCACCCCCTCCCACCGCTGTGGGGGCAGGCAGAGCCTGGGGCTGAGCACTGAGGGAGAGACCGCAGTGGCAGCAAGCTGTTCCACTCACCAGGGGTGACGTTTATTTGTCCCCATCCAGCCCCATGACCACCCCACAGGCTGGACAGGGAGAGCAGGCGTCAGTGCCATGTGTCCCACGGGGCTGGCATCCCCTCGGCCAGTCCCTTCCAGGTGCTGCACTGCTAGGCTGGGGGTGGGGAGCAGCCTGGCTATGCCCCCCTGGCCACCCTTGTGTATCGCTCCGACTCGTACTCGCCCTGGTTGGCTTCCATCATCTTTCGGCGGATTTTGAGCTGCTCCAGACGGTTTTTATCAACTTCCCGCTTGGCCAGGAGGAAGAGGATGATGCCGGAGGGCAATCCAATGGCCCTGCAGGACAGCCGGTGGGCAGGAGATGGAGAGAGCCGGTGGGGAACCAAGGGCCCTGTGCCACCCTTGGGCAGCACAGACACCCCCCGGGACCCTCCGTCCCATGCCAGGCCCCACGGAGCAGCGGAACCTGCGGGTGCCGAGCCTTTCCCGCCGCCCCGGCCACTCACCAGGCCACCCCCACCGGCTTCATCGGGTTCTTGCCCTTCTTGCGTGTGGGGATGTACTCCACTCCCTCGGGGAGCCCCCCGCTGCCAGGCTCCGGGCTGGCCCGTGGCCCCGCCGGCTGGCGGCAGCTCTGCCCGAGGAGCCGTGTGCCCGGGGGGGCCGGCCGGGTCCAGGGCCTGGCAGGACCTGCTGCCGGCCCTGCTGCTGCCAGCAGCCCTGCGGGGAGAGAGGTGTTAGAGAGGGGCAGTGGTGGTGGGGGGGGCCCAGCCCGAGCTGCCTGAGGCTCCTGCCCTTGACCCTTGCCCTTACCCTTACCCTTGCCCCTGCCCCTGTCCCGGCGGCAGAGGGGGCTCGAGGGCGGGGCCTGAGCCAAGCAGGGCGTGGCCACGACTGAGGGGGCGTGTTCAAGCGCGCTAGGGGCGGGGCTCTAAGACCTCTCCTCAGCCGGGCGGGGCGGGGCCGAGGCCCTGCGGGCCGGGCCTGGGGGCGTCTCTGGGAGA